GAAAGCTGGCCGACGCGCCCCTGTCGGAGCGAGGGGACCAGGTTTCCGAGTCCTGTGGGGACTCAGGAGGCGCCGCCTCCCCCCGCCCGAGCCAAACACATGGTACGCCCCGAGCGGGCACGGGAGCCCATTAGTTGTTTAGGGTGAGTTGGGTCGGTCCCAGACGGCGCATGCGCCTGGAGACCTCGCCGTCGACCCCGGAGGAGGGAGGAGCGTTTCCGAACCCGGAAGTTGTCTGGGTGTCCCGTGTGCCCTGCGAGTCGGCTGGCTCTCCCAGGTCGCCGCTCGCGCTCCCGACCGATGCCGTGAAGCGTTTCTCCCCAAACTGCCAGCCGTCAGAGAATTCCCCCCACTCCCAGCCCACTCTTGCAGTTCCACCCGGAAAACTGACCCCCTCCCAGTGTCTATGAGTTTCTGGAAAGTGTATGCTACCTCTCTCTATAGCAAGGCGGGGGCAGTGGGGACGTGGACAGGTGTTTCACCCCGCTGATGTCTTGATTTGGAAAACCTTTCTTCTCCCTAGGGCAGATGTGGTTGGTTTGGGCTAAGAGATTTGACCTTTTAGTTTGCATCTATGATGAGTATTAGGAAGTGGACAAAGAAACGTGAACCATTGAAAGATCCTTTAATATTCCTGATCCACCATCCTCAGTTCTTTCTGTTCTCCTGTCACTGGTGCCGATCACTAATTTTAACACAAAGGAAATTTCCACCAGAACTCTTGGAGAATTGACCTGGCCCCGAGGGTTTTGGAGACAACTTGAAAGTCCAAAACTTCCAGGAGGGATACCATGTACCCTCTCAATCCCAAGGGGATCCAGCCCCAGAGAATGTTATTTGATTAACTTTATTATCAAATGATACTTTTAATTTCCTTTATGTCAGCCTGTGAATTCTCTGAATTTGTTAACACTGACATATTCTCTTGGCCTCTAAACTTCTAAAAATCAGGAATCCTATTGAGTTTGTAATCCTTGGAATGATGCTACTGAAGGTGAAGACAATGATTGCAAAAATTAAGACATTTAATAAATGCCACGGTGTTTAATTCTGATTGTGTGAACCTTCAGACGCCTTCAATAACTACTCTCCCAAGTGCATAGGAGCTGGGTGTGGTGGGGCATCCCTTTTATCCCAGCCCTTCAGAGGCAGAGGCTAGCAGACTTCTGTGGATTTAAGGCCAGTCTGGTTTACATCATGAGTTCCAGCATAGCCATGAGTCAGTCACAGAGAGATCATGACTGGAAAAAAAATGAATAAACATGTATCATTCCTTATTTTCATTGGATTCATGTTACCCCTCAAATGTTCACTTAAACTGACATGTAATTGCCACACAATGAACGACAGCCTTTGAGTTTAACAAAGTGAGATTAAGTCCCCCCACACCCATACACATCTCTCTTTATTGGCATCTTCATGGTTGCCTTTTCTGTATAGAAGAGAAAACCAAAAGGAAAGTTGGATGTATAAAGTACTTGTGTGTCTGGAGTGCCCAGAATGTCCAATCCCTCTGGAGACTATAATGATTCATAAAATGTAGTTTGCCATTATACAGGAAGTTAGATCATTTGCCTTTAATCTTCTTCTCAGGCTCCATTTACTATTCTCTATCATGTCCCTGTGATAGTTTGAATGTAATTGGCCCCCATAAACTCATAGGGAATGGCACTAATAAGAGGTGTAGCCTTTTGGAGTAGGTGTGGCCTTGTTGGAGGAAGTGTGTCACTGTCGGGGTGGGCTTTGAAGTCTCCTATGCTCTAGAGACTGCTCAGTTCATTTCCTGTTGCCTGTGGGTCAAAGTTGTAGAAATCTCGGTTCCTTCTCCAGCTCCATGTCTGCCTGCACACCGCCATGTACCACCATGGTGATAATGGACTAAACCTCTAAAACTGTAAGCTGCCATTCCATTAAATGTTTTCCTTTATAAGAGTTGCTGTGGTCATGGTGTCTCTTCACAGCAATAGAAACCCTGACTAAGACAGTCCCCTACAAGTCAGCCACTTGTTGGTATTTATTGAGTGCACCTTGATTGTTCATGTCTCATTCCCTCTGTTCCTCCCATCCCCTCTGCCTCAAGGGCCCTTCCTCCCTCTGGACCGGCACATTCCTGTGCTTCGGGGATATGCTACCCCTTCAATGCCCTCAACTCTACCACAAGAGAATTGGGTCCTTTTGCCTGTGCACATGATATGACAATCCAGAAATTCTCTATGCTTATCTGGTGTTACAAAACTATCTTCAAGGTAGGTGATGGTCGAAAACACCTTTAATTCTATCACTCAGGAGGCAGAGGCAGGTGGATCTCTGTGAATTCAAGGCCAGAGCTATATAGAGAAACCCTGTCTCAAAAAAAAAAAAAAATCCAAAAACAAAAATGTCTTCAAAAAGAGCAAGATTGGAGCAAAGTTGCTGAATGAAAAAACTAATTTAACAAAAATCCAGTCCTTGCCAAGAGTCTTGTCTTTGCAAGTAGAAAAATCACATACATTTCTTTGTGTAAAATTAATCTCCTCCCTCTTCTCTCCCCCCTCCTCCGTGTGTGTGTGTGTGTGTGTGTGTGTGTGTGTGTGTGTGTGTATGTATGTATGTATGTATGTATGTATGTAAGTATGTATTATGCAATCACATAGAACTCAAGCATAAAAGAAACAAGAATGTGGGCCAGAAAGATGGTTCAGTTGGTAAAGGTATTTTCCAACAAACCTGATGACCTGAGTTTGATGCCAGGATCCACGTGGTGGAAGGAGAGAGACAACTTCTGAATGTTGTTCTCTGCTCTCCACATGGTAACCATGGTACAAGTACACCCATGCATATACATGGGGGCACAAAATAAATGTGCAAAAGATTTTTAATACTTTATTTAACTATATTTTATATGCATTGGTGTAAGGATACCAGATCCCCTGGAACTGGAGTTACAGGCAGGTGTGAGTTGCCATGTGGGTGCTAGGAATAGAACCCTGGTCCTCTGGTAGAGCAGCCAGTGCTCTTAACCACTGAGCCATCTCTCCAGGCCCCAAAGATTTTTTAAAAAGTTTTTGCAAAGCAACGGGGCTTTGCAAACACACCTGCAATCCCAGCACTCAGAAGGCTGGAGCAAGAGGATCACAAATTCAGGGCCAACCTGGGCCACATAGCAAAACGCTATCTCAAAATCTGAAAATAATAACAAACTCAAAACAGGCCAGTCTCACCCAAGGACCTTAAATACCAACAGGAAGCCATGTGGCTAGTCTCCCAAATCCTTTTCTCTCTTTCATCTCTGCTTTTTTTTTTTTCCCACAAAGCTGCGTCATTCTCTGCCAACCTGCTTCTCTGAGGACGTACTCTGGGCTTACTGACCCTCATGACAAGAGCAAGCTAAAACTCATTATTAGTGGTAGATTCCAATTTCCGAGGGAAAGAAACTAGTCAGTCTAGTTTATATCAGCTTGTCAGATCTCGGTCTTATGCCACCTTGCACCAATATAACGGTGCAGTCAGGGTTTTGGCGATACAAGTCTGGCTGCCAGAGACCCATCCTTGGAGCCTTGGGTTCTCAAGAGGCTCAGCTGAGCCAGGCTCGAGGCAGCACACACCTTTAATCCCAGCACTCTGAAGGCAGATAGAAGAGAAACTCTGTCAATTTAAAGCCAGCCTGGTTTATATAGGTAATCCCAAGCCAGCCAGGGCTACACAGTGAGACTGTGTCTACAATTTTAAAAAATTATTGCAAAAAGAAAAGATCAGTAGTCTACTTGACAGAAGATGTCCAGAACACACCAAAAAAGGAATAAACTAACACCAAGTTCAAAAGCATAAAAAGCAATCGGCAGGATCAAGAATTTTCAAAGACTGACTCCAATTTAAAGTACCTTAGGCCTTCATTGAAGTCACCATCCCTCATGGAAACCACCACGGACACACCCCCATGTTATATAATCTTACACAACACTCATTGCCCTGATTAAACCTGTCACAGTTTACAAGGAAATATCCAGGAGTCTTCTCTACAAACCGGATTTTTTTCACCCACCATGATTTACCTAAAGCCAGTGGCACATTTGGTTTTGCATTCAGCAGATATTTGTTGCTGGCCTTCTACGTGGCTCACTGAGTAAGGGCACTTGCTACGAGGCCTGACCTCCTGAGATCAATCCTGGAGACCCCAATGACAAAAGGAAGAGAACCAACTCCCACGAGCCATCCTCTGACAAACGCTCTCACACAACACAAATGCAATACAAAATTTTTAGGAGTGAGTTGTAAGTAATATTCAAGGCACAACAGTTTGTTAATTTGTGCAAGATCCCCCCATGTGGTCCAATGTTGCACACCTATAATTCCAGCTACTCTACAAGCAAAACTGGATGAGCACAAGTTCGAAGAAAACCTCAGCTAGGAGTGATGGCCATCAGAGAAAAGAAAGGGGAAAGAATGGCACCTTCTCCACAGCCAAGGTTTTGGGGACCGGGCATCCTGTGTCTCAAAGCCAGGTCTGCACCGGAGTCCCAGAGACCTTACCTAACCCTAAAAGCAACCACAAAGGGGCTTTGGGGACCTGAGAAGAAGCAGATAATCCTCCTGGTTCTAATCCTTAACCCCACAACTCTAACCCGGCTTTAAAGCCTTTAGCCGATGTAATTCACTCTAACTTGGTATCAGTCCAGTGTCCAAACCCTGGGTCTTAATCCTAATCCCCATATTATCTGCCAAACTGAGTCCCACATTTCGGACCCAGCATCAACCCTGATCCCAGGAGTTTAACAGAGACTCCTTACCCAGCCGCTGAATGGTGTGCCCCCAGTTCCTACTTACTGTGACCCCCCACTCATGGGAACAGGGAATCCCAGAATACCTTATGTCCTTGGGGAGATGAGAAGCCAGTTTTGGCTATCAAAGAAAAGAAAAAGGCCTGGGCCTGCCAGAAAAGATGACATGGGATATCTTTCCCCTGACCCAGCAGCAGTATGCTCTATGCTCTAATTCAGGGGCTGCAGAGGCCTCAAGTCCAGAGAAGACACTACCCAGGTCCCCATGCGACTCTGGTCCCAGCTGACAGAGGGCAAAAGATTAGAGGCCCCCCTATAAAACAATAGGATGTGCAGAGGTCGGGGGACCTCTGCTTTTGAGGCCAGTCTGATCTACATAGACAATTTCAGGCCAAGCAGGGAAACGCACAAGGATGTCATGAGATTCTGGTTCCAAACACAGCTGAGAACATAGGGGTTTCTGCTCTCTCATTTGAGCTTGGTTTGCCTGGGTGGGGATTTTTTTTTAAAACCAATGAACAAAACCCTGTGTAAGTTTCCTCTCAGCCTGCAAGTTTTCCAATGTGTAGTTGGTTCTCTGAGTCACTTACCGTCCAGCTGGCATGGATAAACTCACAGAACCAAGGGGAAAGAAGGGCAGCCACGCATGCCATCTCCAGCCCTTCTCCAAAAACTAAAAATAAATGAACTAAAATGAAAGCTTGGACGGGGAAAGAAGGGAGGAGAGCAGGAGGGACTGGCATTTCACATTCTGTGTTCCTTATGGTGGTGACATCACCGATCTCCCTGCTGCTCACACCCAGTCTCAGTGTGAAATTTGATTTTACTGACTTTTCGATTTCTTTACAAGAATAGCAGTAATCATTTTTCTCAGAAATTCTTGACCTTTGTAGAAAAAGAAATCCTCCCTAACACTACCCTCCCCAACCCCAAGAGAAACGCTTACTAAGAGCCTGGTATATAGCCTATGGGCTAGGGATTTTACACTCATATGAATTAGATCATACAGGACATAGTGTGCCCTCAAACTGATGCCATGGCATCTTCTATATCTCTGTACATAGGTTTACAGCATGGTCTCTCCATTTTTTAATCATGTATATGTGTGTGCATCTGTGTGTGGGTATGTGCACATGAGTGCAAGTGCCCTGGCAGGCCAGAGGAGGGCGCCAGAGGACCCTGGAGCTAGGGTTAAAGGTATTTGTGAGCTGCCCATTGTGGATGCTGAGAACCAAACTTAGGCCCTCTGTCAGAGCAGTGCATGCCCTTGACTCCTGACCCATCTTTGAAGTTCTACAGTATAGTCTTAAGGCTAACGGCATTAATGCTGGTGTTCCAGAGATACAGGAATGATTGGGGTGGGAGAGAGGATGAGAGGGTGCCAGGGTCCAGCCTGTATCAGTCCTGCACTACAGAAGCCATCTGTTTTGGACAGGGAAGAGAGACCGAAGAGCCTCAAGAGCTATCATCTAAAGGCCCACAACCAGCAGAGTCCAAGTGTAAAGCTGTGGTCTGGATCTGCTGACAACCAAAAGAACCATATCCGGACTCAAATACCATCAGTCAGAGAGAGGACTGTGCCTTATTTCATTTTTTGTTCCATTCAGGCCTTCAGTGGATTAGAGGAATCCTGCCCACCTTGCTGACAGTGATTTGCCTTGTTTAGTCTACCAACTTGTTTCAGAGCATTTAGACTACTGTAACAAAATACCACAGACTGGGTAATTCATAAACAGAGATTTATTCCTCACAGTTCTCTCTTCATGGGTGTGAGAATACGTGTGTGTGTGTGTGTGTGTGTGTGTGTGTGTGTGTGTGTATAGTGGTCATGGTTTTGTTTCTTCCTCTGCCACCTCAATTTTCTAAATTATTTTTATAAATTTTGTTATTTTTAATTATATCTCTCTCTTTGCATGTGTGTCTGTGTGCAGGCGCACACGTGTACACCCCTTTGGGGTCCGGAAGAAGGGCATCATCAGCTCCCTAGACCTACTGCTACAAGCAGATGTGAGCCACCAGATGTGGGTGCTGGGAACCGAACTCAGGTCCCTCTGCAAGAGCAGCATTTGCTCTTAACCCCTGAGCCATCTCTCCAGCCCTGCTCCCCTGCTGAGCTTTTGAGACAGAGGTATGTTATAACCCAGTCTGGGCTGGTATTTGCTGTGTAGTCCAGGCTGGTTTATAACACTCCAGTTGGCATTCCTTGGCCTTGGCTTCCTGAGTATTGGGATTATAGGCATGTACCAACAAGCCTGGATTCTTTTTTCTTTCCTTTTCTTTTTTTAAGATAGTGTCTCTTGTCATGTTGCTTAGGCTGGAATCAAACCCTTGGCACAAGTGATTTCCTGCCCCCACCTCCCAGTGGAAACAGCAGATGCACCACCATCACAACTTTTGGACATATTTTCCTAAGAAGGAAGACAGTTGGAATACGGTTTCACCTTCATTTTCTGTGGCCAGGCCCCCCCATCAGAAAGTCTACACCACTCTACACTCCCTCCAGCAGTGAGCGTGAGGACAGGTCTTTGTGATGTCACCGCTGTTAACTGTTACCAATTTAATGATAAAAGATGACATTTAATAGCTGTGTTTACTTGATTTTTGGGTCTGTGTATGTGTACTTTGCTGTTGTTTTGTTTAACTCATTTTGTATAGAATTGTCTGTTTAGGTCCTCTGTCCACTTTTCTACAGGGGTGGATTATTTTTTCCTTACAGTTTCAATGTTGCTGTGAAGAGTATTAGCCCTTTTTCGAAAGTGACTTCTCTACTGTTCCTCTCACCCACCTTCCTCCCTCTACCCTGGGATTTGAACCCAGAGCTTCATGTTATTCTGTGCAGGTATCCTACCAATGAGTTACATCCTGAGCCACTTTTGTATGGTATCTGTTTTTAGAATGGAATCTCAATAAGTGTTGATTGTGGTCCTCCTGCCTCAGCTTTGTGAGTCACTGTGCGTCACAGGCCTGTGCCACTGGGCCTGGCTTTGTCATTTGTCTCTTAATTTGTATCTATAACTTTTGATTTTCCAGAGTCTGAATGTGTGTTGGGGTGCATTAACCTTGGCTAATTTAGAGTCACTGATGTGGACACTCTGTCACCTAAAGATTAAAAACAGAAAGGGGGAGAATAAGAAGACAGAAAATGGTGAGAGGTAGGTGGCAGGCTGCAAAAGGAATGTTTTCTCCTTCTCTGCCTCATGTCAGGCAGTCTGAGGCAAATGGCCAAGTCATCCAGAGGTCAGGACAGTCCCTTGGGCCTGGTGCCCAAGCTCCCCGAGGCAGGCTCTCCAGGGCTTGTGCCCCAGACTTCCTGATTTCCTGTCTAGAGGTTTTCTAAAGCAGCCCAAAGCCATGACCTTATAGCCGAGTGAGTCCCTAGAGACCTGAAGTTTCCCATCGAGTCACTTCTACAAACTGTCATAGATCATTTCCATGGTCGTGGGTGGCTGAGCAGACGCTAGGCTAGGTCAGCAGTATGCACTGAGGATGCCAAACAGAATAAGGGATTCAGGAAAATGGTAGCGAGAGGCTCGGGTGTCCAGGATGGGGCTGAACAAAGAGAGCTGGAGTCTTAGTTTGGGTGTTCCAGAAGTTGACGCAAAGGCAAGAACTGGGAGACGTGAAGGCCATAGTTAGGGATAGCAAGGTGGTCAGGGGAGGGGTGTCAGAGGGCCAATTGTCACTGGGCACAACCAAGGCTCAGTCCTAGGGGGGTTGCACAAATACCAGACCTTAAAGACATCCTATCTGAAGAGCAGAGGCAGTGACAGACTGAATATACAGCCAGGGGACATAAACCATGGCACTTCCGCCTGGTTTGTGACAGAACCTGGAAGATAAGCCTCTCAACACACCTGTAGGATGATCTTGACTAAAGTAACTGAGGTGGGAAAACTCAGCTGTGCACTCTACCTTCACCTGGGTAGATCTGGACGGTCAGAACATGGACGAACTGAGTCGGCCACTAGCATTTTCCCCTATTCTTCAGACAGGGGAGTGGGACCAGCAGCCTTTGTCTCCACCCCCACTCCCACCACAATGGACTGTACCTTGAAATGTGAGCCAAAATAAATCCATCCTGCCTTGAGTCACTTTTGCCAGGGTGTTTCATCACAGCAACAGAAAAGTGGCTAAGACACACTCTGAGAAGCTCTAAGGGTCAAGGGCCGAGACAGGACACTAGTGAGTTCACAACAGCCAGGTAATCAGTGTTTGTGTCTGTCTGTCTGTCTGTCTGTCTGTCTGTCTGCCTGCCTGTGGTATTAGCATGGCTTTCTTCACAAGACTGTGAGTCATTCCCAAGTAATCTGCATAGGAGCTAGGAAGCAGAGTCAAAATTACAGTGGACATGACAGAATTAGATTTCTAAATGTTCAAGGAACCCAGAGAGATTATTTTCTCCTGCCTCAGCTTATACAGAGTCCAGGTATGTGTCACTCCAAGGCAGACTAAAAGGACAGAGGAAGGCACGAGGGCCCTATGGAAGAAGCGTGCTTTGTTCAGAATTCCCACTGCCAGTAACTCCTTCCCACCAGCCAGGGACCCCGGCTAGGCAGAGGCTGCACAGCTGCCATCTGCTCTCTTGGCTCCACTGCCTGGCAACTGCCTGCCTGTGTCTGTTCTCCGCCCTGGAGGAGGTGGCGGCATTCCTCCATGGACCGTCAGGCAGCAGTGGCCTTGCCAGGGCCTGGCCACATGATGGATTCACTGATTATAACTTTCTGATGTGGGGGCTGCTCAGCCATGTAGCAGACCCAATTCCATCTGGTGTGTGCTTCTTGAAAGAGCTGAGAGAAGGGAAAACTCCACATGCTGGCTGCTCACACTGGGAGAAGTGTGTCTTTGTGCAGGCAGGTGTGGGGAGGGTGTGCACCAACAGGCATGACGGCACACACTGGTGGGAACCTGCAGAGTTGAGAACCTGTGTATGTGGTGTGATTATGTGAGTTTATGAAGGTGTGGACAGAAACACTAGGAGTTCAACACCTCTGGGATCCCATTTCCTTCTGAAACCACTCAGCAAATAGGGTTTTAATAAATAATAATGCTATCATCTTTTTTATACTGTCTAACAGCAGTAGCTGCTTTGCACACACTAGATTTGTTTTTGTTGTTCTTTTTTGAGATAGGGACTCATAACCCAAGCTGGCCTCACACTAGCTTAAGTAGCCGAGGATGAACATCATCCTGCCTCCCCTTCTAAGTGTTGGAATGACAGATGTCACTCACTTTGGCTACTATAGTCTGCAAGAGAAACCTTACCTTCTCCACCCTGCAGATGAGGCTACTAAAATCCTGGAAGCCGAATGAACTGCCCAAAGATTCGATTTGTAAGCAGCAGAGTCAGAAGCCTAGATGGTGTTTCTCATTTCACAGTGCATGATATTTCATTTCCATCCCCTTCCTAAATCTCATCGAATGAGAATAAACAACAACTGTGCTGTACACAATAGGAATGATTCACGGAAAACAAATGTCAAGCAAAAGAAGCCGAGCCCCAAACAAAATAGCTACTGCCTCGTTGTTGTATTTACGGGAAGGTCAGAAATGCGCAGGACTCGTATACAGCGTTGAGAATGAGGAGGATGAGCTGGGGTGTGATGGCGTCTGCCTGTCAACCAGCACTCAGGAGGTGGAGGCTGGAGAATCAGGAGTTCAAGGTCATCCTTAGCTACATAGTGAGCTTGAAGCCAGCCTGGGCTACATAAAACTCAGTCTCAAACAAAACAGTTAGGAGACAATGGTGGGCCGGGAACACAGCTCACTGGCAGACTGCTTGCTGCCTGAGCTGGAAGGAGAAAAGCACTACCATCACCCCTTGGAGGTGGAGAGCAGAGAAATGGGAAACTTTCAGGAAAGGGTTAGAGGGGAACACCAAGGTCATTCTTAGGGGCTAGTCATTGGCAGTATTTTACTTACAGTCTGGCTGTTGGTTACACGAATTTATTCAACTGGCATGAATCCATTGAGACATGCATGTTTCATGTACGCACCATTCTATATGAATGGTTTCCCCCAATCAAAAGTTGGAAATGAAGATAAAAATCTTTCAAGACAAATAAAGACAAGTACTACAGGTCTACATTTAGGGACACACACGCTCACAGGCACCCTCAGAAGATTCTAGGCTCTGAAATGGGGTTAGTAGCAGACTCCAAACTGAGTGTTCTGGGTGAGCTACAAGAAAAGTCAGTCTAAAGACTATGACAAAGTGCGTATGTGGCATGCTTGGGGTTCCGTGCCTAGCACTGCATATGTTAGCTATGGTGACACAGACCCGTAATCCAGACCTGGAAGGTGAAGACAGGAAGATTGGAAGTTCAAGGTCGCCCATAGCTACATAGGTCAGCTCTACTTTCATGAGACCTGTCTCAACAGTGAGCAAATAGGTCAAGTGTGGTAGTGCACACATTTCATGCCAGCACTCCGAAGGAAATGGATCTTTGTGAGTTTAAGGCAAGTGTGGTCTACACATCGAGTTGTAAGACAGCCAGGACTACAGAGTGAGACTCTGTCTCCAAGTCAATCAATCAATCAAAAGACAGACAGACAGACAGACAGACAGACAGACAGACAGACAGTAAAGAAAAAAAGGACTGTGACCACTGTGTCCTGACCAAGAGAAGGTCATGCCGTTTGAAGTTCAACAGACCTGGGTTGGCCTCTAGGACCATCCCAAGCTAACTAGCTGAGGGATACTGAGAAAACTGTGTAGCAACCCAAAACCTTAGTTACCTCTGCAATGCAATGGGGGAGCCACACGGCAGGGGGAGAGAACTGACCCCTACAAAGTTTGACCTCTACATGGGCTCTGTGGTGTCCACATGTGCGTGCGCACACACAATTAAAATTTTAAATGAAAAAAAAAAAGTAGCCTGAGCTGGTGGATAAATGACTGAAGAACTTCTTGAGTCATCTAATCAGAGGTCAACCACTGACATGTTTCCTTCCCCAAGGACCCATTTAGAGTTTCCCACTTCCTCTTTTATGCCCCTCTAGCTTCCTGTATGGTGTGGCCCCTGGGAACCAGTATGGGCAGACAGCCTTATTTTCCTGCACATAACACAAATTCACTGCACCCCCCCCCAATAAAACAGTGCCTTAAACACAATAGCTATTTATTTTGGTTTCCTTGAAAGAAGTCCATTAAAACTTGTGCTATTTGGGACCAGAGAGACAGCTCAGTGGTTAAGAGCACTTGTTGCTCTTCCAGAGGACATGGGTTCAGTTCCCAGAACCTATGTTGGACGGTTCATAGCCACCTGTAACTCTAGCTCTAGGAAATCTGTTGACTTCTTCTGGCTTCTGTAGGCCCCTGCATAAATGTGGACGCACGCGCGCGCACACGCGCGCGCGCGCGCGCACACACACACACACACTTACACAGTAAATAAAAATATTTAAAATTCTTAGAATGTGTCTTTCAAAAGATCCCATCAGCAAAAGGCAAAGACAAAGCACAGCTTGAGGGGGGCAGGGAGGGAAGTACATAGATCCTGTGTCTGATAAAGAACAGGTTTCCAAAATATATAAAGAGCTGGTGATATTCAATAGCAAAAAGGCAAGCAATACAATTGAAAAAGGACAAAGATTTGAAC